TAGCGAATTTTGGGAATGATGAGGGCAACAAATGTATAGATGTGCTTTACACAATTGATCTATGTATTGTGATGAGTTGTATGAGCCCCAATAAATTGATTTTAAAAAAAAGAATAGGAAAATTTGAAACCATCACACTGTAGCTATACCAGCAGGTGCAAAGACATACACCTTTTGCAAAGAACCTTTTTGTCTTATATTCAAAATGCAGCTTTTATGTTGATGTAGACTATAATGCATATATAATAGCTTGAAAAACAGTTGTTAGCCCATTGTTTATGCTTCAGCAGTAGGCTGTTAGTAGTTAATTTGGGGGAGAGTCAAAAGTTATATGTGGCTTTTCCGTTGCAGATAGTCAGCACCTATAACCCCTCCACCTTGTTCGAAGGTCAAGTATATTATGTGTTTAGAGTTTCTACTTCATTTGCTAGTAAACATATTAAAAATAACATTTCTCAAAATGACCCCTGTACTCCAGAGCAGTGCTCCAAAATGTTTTTGCTCCCTCTTTATAACAATGACATTTCCTAATAGTTTCTTAGGCCCAATAATTTACATATTGTATTCCGCTGGGTTTTCTAGAGTAGCAAAACCTGTGACACTCATGTCTAAGCAAGAACTTTTTATCAAGGAAGCAGCCCAGCTCTGTCCAATTCCAGGCCCTAGGTGGGAAAGGTGAAGTGAGTTGGGAGATCGCAGACTTGTGGGCTCACAGTGGTGAGTATCAAGGTCAGTGGGAATATGGCAGGACATCAACAGCTTCCAGGACCAGCAGAGTCAGATGGACGATCCAATTAAGCAGAAGTGAGCAAGCAAGAGACCAGTTCTCTTCAGCTCTTATGAAAAGGCCACACCCCTAAGTAACTGTCATTATGCTGTGTCCTGATTGAGAGGTTGGACTCCCCCATATCTTATAGGTATAGCAAGTTGACATAAATCCTAACTATCATACATATCACACAAAAATTTCTGTTGCCTCTGCTTCTATCTTGAAAAATATCAGGAGCCCAATCCTTTTCTTTTACAACCTTCATCACCACCAGCCTAACTTACAGTTTTCCTACACACCAATTATAGGCACAGCCTCCCAAATAGTCTCCCTCCTTCCACTTTGTTCTGCAATCTATCACTGATAGTAAACTAGGTAGGGGGTGCAAATCATAGCACATTCTTGTTGTAGACCCCTCTGGTGGGTTTCCAGCTCATTCACCATGGCACCTGGCTCCTTTTACTCCCTCTCACCTTGTCCTGCCACCCCTTTTGTTCACTTTGTCCCTGACACACTACCCACACTGCTGTCTTTTGATGTCTCCATGGCTTACTTCTCTGAGTAAGCCTTCCCTAGTGAATCCTTTTTAATAAAGTGTCCCACGCTCATCATACTTTGCCCTTTATTTTTCTGTGTAGGAATAAGCATGCCTATTTCTGTGTAGTGGAGTCCAACTATGTATTTCACGTTATTAGCTCTTCATTAGGTTACTGCACTCTTGCACTCATAACTAGATACAAGTTGTAAGCAGGAACTTTGCTAGATATCCAATGCTTGAGATGTTACATGGTAGATGACTACCGTACATACTGGTATATAAGCCGAGTCTTTCAGCATATTTTTAATGCAGTTTTTGTGGTATAATTAGGTGCCTTGGCTGATACTCGGGTCGGCTTATACTCAGTTATACACGGTACTCAATAATTACCTGTTACTGAGTTATAAAATTGTTATACATAATCTAAACTGTTGTTTCGCACAAGAGCCATGCTGGCCGCTCAGAGAATAATACAATACCGAATACAGAAATACCAACGTGGCTCTGCCATCTACTTGTTATATTCCTTTGGGCAGGCTGATATCATTTAGTATTTCTGAGTCTCACTCATAATAATCACTAATAAAATGAGAGTACAAAAAGGAAAGCACTTGGCATAGTACTTGTCTTAAAAGAGCTCGAAATTAAAAGAATATTGAAATTGGTAAAGGAGCCCGGGTGGCGTAGTGGTTACAAGTTGGACCATGATGCAAAAGGTCCACAGTTCAAAACCACCCACTGCTCCTCGGGAGAGAGATGGGGCTTTCCTTTCTTGTCTCACAAACAGTTACAGTCCTGGAAACTCACAGGGGAAGTTCTACCTGTCCTGTACGGTCACTGTGAGTTGGCATTGAATCCATGGCATGATTTTGATTTGATTTTTTATATTAAAATTAGAAGTATGCAAGCTTATGAATCTCAGGACAATAATGTTACAGTTAATGTCACATACTCTGTTAACCCACAGAGCTTATTCTATGTGAGTGCTTATTTTGCCTCTAGTAAAATATTAATAGGTTAATGTGGTAGTTACATAATCTGGTGCCAACTTGAGACTATTAAGAGTGAATGGGTGGAGTTTAGCCTGTCAATCAGGTCGCAGTTAATGACCTCATTTGGAAGCACCACAGAGATAAACAGCTCACTGGAAGCCAGATACAGACAGACACTGCTCGTCTTCCTGCTGAAACACCAAATGGAGACCCCTGATCGAACCAGAGCCTTGGGGCTGGAGGAGCCACATGGAGACCCACACCGGTGCTGAGATGCTTCCAAGGCCACCGCATCCACAAGACTTTCCACTTCCCGGCCTGTGAGCTGCCTACATTCAACCTCCTTGCATGTGTTGCATGTGTCTGAAGAGGAAATTATAAATTGGTATTGGACATATGGGCTAATATTGGACTTGTGGACTGGGCTCGGATGTTTTCTGAATGTACAATTGCTCTTTGATATAAAGGTCTCTCTTACTCACATATGAGTCTCCCTGGATTTGTTTTTCTAGTTTACTTGGACAAACAGTTAATTACTAGTCTAGCATCATCATCTCTGTGGAACAGGCTTACATAATCATATCTTCTAGTGTCATTTTTTCTAAATGAATTTAACATTTTGGATAAGAAATTATAAGAGATCTGAAAGGTAGGTTGAGTGACAGGAGTAGGCTTCAAACTCAAACTCAAACCCATTGGATTAGAATGCTGACTCAGAGCAAGCCATGTAATTAGCATAAGGTTTTCAAAAGCCTTAAGTTAAATAGAGAAATATCACTACAACCATTGGTTCTGCTAAGTAATTTTTTTCTTTTTTCCTCCTAAAACAGGTTGTTTTCAAAATACCAGTATTTTGATTCAAGAGGGATGTTCATTTCTATAGTATTTTCAACACCACTGTTATTCAATGCCATGGTCATCGTGGTATGTATATTACAGCCTTTTACTTTCAGTTTTCTTTGTATGTAATTTTAATGTCTTTTCGGTGCTAACCGTGCCTCAAAACATTTGTTTGTAGATTATGTGGGTAAAAAAGACTTTAAATGTAATGGCTGAACTGAAGAATTTACAAGAGAAAAGAAAGGAAAAGAGAAGGAGAAGAAAGGAAGAATAAAGCAGTGACTTTGGATCTCTCATGGTAGATCCCTTTCCCTCCCCATTGTCATTGCCAATATTAGAAAACGCCTGCTACAGAAGTCCTTCTTAGCAACTGTGATGATTTTTTTAAATGATAGATTCTTTTATAATACTTATAATAAAATACACATTTCTCTGTGTTTTTAAAGCAATATTTACTTATTATTTAAAAGTCTTAATATGTATAGCATGTTTAATAATAAATAGTTAATGACTTAAACTACTTGTGGCACCTTTCCCTGCTTCCTAGTATTTTCAGTGCTTGTTCACAGAGGATGATTGTATCCCTTTTTGACTGACATAAGACAAAGGATAGAACTGGCAAAGAAGTACCCACCCCTAGCAATAGTGCCATGCTACTTGATGTGATTGATCTGTGGAATGTTACATGATATCTGTAAGGACTACCAATTAAAAGATTTTCTAAAAAAAGAAAAATAATAATAAAGTGAAAATGTGACCATTGGACAAAAAATGAAAAAGAAGTACCCAACCCAAATGACAGCAGTGTCCAGGCTGTTTTTTTAAACAGATTTTAAAAACAAAACTAAACGTTACTTCTCAATGTAATCAACCAATTCCTGTGAAGTTCTGTGTTTGTTTTTGAGGTGATAGGACGGGGTACCTGCACTGCACATCTCCCAGGTCCAGGTCACCAGGTCTGTGTTCCCTGGAGCAGCTGGTGGATTCAAACTGTCCCCCCTTCAGTAAGTAGCCACGCCCTTAACCCTGACCCACCAGGCTTCCTCCTGTGAGGCTGTCTCTGCCAGTGTCTACACAGACTTGGCTCTTTGAAATAAATAAAGATGGAGGCTGCTTTGCTTTTAAATGATAAAATGTTCAACTCAATAAGTAATGTCACTGAAAGGTACGTGCAGTACGTACTGCAGGAATGTTTTGTTGTGTATTTTCTTGGCAACAATAAATAAATATGCATATATATGTATATATATATATACAGATATAATGAAGGCATAATTCAGCATTTCACAGGGAAGATTATGCAGAATTAGCTCTTCGATCTTATTTTTTAGGATATAAAACAATACAGAAATATTTAATGAATATTTTAGCTACCTTAATCAACAGATTTTATGAGCAATATGAAGATGGATTGCATTCCTTCCTGTTAACTTCCCTGCTCAATAGAAGAGACATAATATTACTTTTAATATCTATTTTATAAAATAGCTTATAAAATATGCTCAATAGAAGAGACATAATATTACCTTTAATATCTATTTTATAAAATAGCTTACATATAAAATAGCTTTTTGTCCAAATCTGGAGCTATAACTAAAGACTGACAACTCCAATTGTTTTTAATGTTCCATAAGAAAAAACTTACTGTTTATTACTTTTAGTTTTTGCTTTTGTTTCATAATAGTAGGGTGTCCTCCAACAGCTTCTGTCATTGCTGTAAAAGGGAGTACATTTTTTTAGGCGGTGTTCTCTAAATTCAGGTGGGATGGACTCAAGGTTGTATTTGGCTCCCTTGAACTTTTACTTTTCTTCAGCTTTCACCTGAAGTTACACCTGAGGAATTGGCGGTCTGTTCTATCGTCAGCCCCCGGCAGGGTTTTAGCTGCTGACACTGAGCTTCTCCAGTTTCCGTTCCCACTGATGTCGTCAGTTTGATTTCTACAGACACCATCATCTGGAGAAGTCCATGTGCATAGCTGCCCTTTGTGTTACTGAAAAAGGTCGCTGTGATGAATAAGTCATCAGTCTTGCAAAATTCTATCATGTGATCGCCAGCTTTTTTTCTATTATCAATGCATCTTGATTGCTTGTATGATCAGTATCAGACTGAAAACATTGGTAAAATTGCTCAATTTCTTCATCACTTGCTTTTGTGATTGGTTCTTAAATTTGAATGATGTGTTCATTTGATTTCCTTGAAGGAGGATAGATATAATCCTGGCACTTACAACACTGTACTTCGTCATTGACTTTGCAATGTTCTTTTTGATAATAAATGCCATGCCATTCTTCTTGATTGTGTTATTCTTGGCACAGTAAATCATATGTTTTTCTGATTAAAAGTGGTCAATACCAGTCCATTTCCAACCATTAAGTGACTTAGTTGTCGATCTATATATGTTCCCTTTCATTTTTTATGACTTCCAGTATTCCTAGATTAATTCACACATTCCATGGTCGGGTCATTATGACCTCATCATCAGTATGACCTCATGGAGGGGTCCTGATGATCAGTTGATTGAGGAATAATAGCTGGTTAGACGTGGAGATGACCACACTTCTCACCAGTTTGAACATGTCGTCAGGGAGACAAATCCCCAGGGAAGAATGTCCCGTTGCACTGAGTGTCAGCAACCAGAGGAGCCCCCCCAGTCAGGTGAATAGTCAGTGGCTGCTATAAAGGCCTCACACATGGGAGAAGCGTGAGGATGGTGCAGGAGCTGGGAATTGTTACTGTTCTGTTTTATGCAGAGTCGCTATGAGTAAGCACTGACTCCACAGCACCTGATGGAGTGCGGGGCAGAAAACTTGAGTGTAATTTTGGAAGTAAATGGAATTGCCTGAATTAACAATATACTATCTTACAGCATATTATTTTAACTTTACTTAGAAGTGTTAAAATGATTTATTATTCAATAAATCTGCCATTTCTAATTATTATAAAACCTATAGGGATACCACACAACTGAGGACAAGTGTAAGAAATAAATAATAAAGGCTATAATGAAGTAAGAGCCATAGTGACACAGTGGGTTGCAGGTTGGGCAGGGCCGTTGTCCTCTACCCTGCAGGACTGTGATGACAGAATGGACTCAAGGGTGGGGGTTGGGGGTTTGGTATAAATAATGGTAAATCGTCAGTGATTCCCTTGTTGAATCCAATTAAAATTCCCATGTAACAAGGAAGAGCAAATGAACTTGCATCAGAGGAAATACACCTAAGACCCTTATGATCCTGATGAGACATTATTGCATTCGCAAATGAAAAACTAAGTAAATAGTGGACACAGTATTATACTGAGATCACTGAATCCAAAGGTTACCAGCATATTGTTTTTCTAGATATTAGGGTGGAAATATTTGTAAATGTTTCAACTTTTAAATTTTAGTTACAGTTCAATCCATTATCAATCAATTTGGTAACAAATTTTCAGAAATCATCAGAATGGTATTTAAATTTATTTAGGATCATTGTAGATGAAAAATAATAAATATAGCTAACGTATATTCTTGACCATATTCTGAAGTACAACACTGTTTGTGGCCTTCTGACAACTATAAATGCAGTGAGTAATATTAGACATAGTCTGTCTTTGTTGCATCTACTTCTCAATTAACTGTTTTATTGGGTTGGGTTTTGTGTGTGTGTGTGTGTGTGTGTGTGTGTGTGTGTGTGTGTGTTGTTCATTTCAAACAGTATGTGATGGCATCTCATTGTTTAACCTCACACTCTAATGACAAGTAATGCTGAGGATCTTATCCCATGTTTCACCCATATGTATGATTTTTCTGGTGATAAGTCTTGTCTGTCTGTTTTTTAGCAATGTGCTTATTGGTTATAGATGATGCTTATGTGTCTTAAGAAAGTCAGATTATATGTGTTTTTGTATTCCTTCCAGGCTGAGGCTTTAAAATCAAGTCCTGTTTCCAATATTTTATGTTTTCCTAGTTATAGATTCCCTTCTTATTCCCAATTTAGGTCGGCACCTTCAGTGTTGAAGCTCCTCTCTGTGTGCCTGAGCTAACAAACAGATCGTAGGGAAAAACGAAGAAGAGCTTCCACCTCGTGAAACACATGATCTAGAACAGATTCAGGAAGAGATTGGCAGTATAACTGGGGGATTTATTGGATGGGCATCTGGAGGGTCCTTGAGCAAAAGCAGGGAATGGCAGGGTTCAGACTCCTTCCAGCTGTCTCTCAACATCAGTGAGGATTCACCTATGGAAAGGGACAGAGACATCATTCCTGAGCAGACAGCTCCCAGCACTCCTCTCAGACACTGCACCCAGGACTCTGCCCAGCAAGACAGTGAGGGTTTGCATCTCTGGGCTCCCGCTGCGTCACAGAAATCTGGGAGCTTCCACTAGCCTTTCAGCGGGCCACTTCCGAGTGTGTGTCTGATGGAACAGCATTTTGGTGACTGCAGTTGGATTTCATCCATTCCTGACCCCAGAAATTCAATAAACACAAAGCACACTTTTAAAATAAAAGCTACATAGTTATCAGTAACCGGAAAATATGTAACCGACAAATAATACAGACTATATACAAATAAAATCACAATTCATGTGATTAAAGCTTTTAAATGAGATAAGAACAGCTTTTAGTAATAATCCACACCCGCTTTTATCATATTAAGGAAATAAATGATAATATATCTGAGGGAAGAGAGGTAAAATAAAATTGTCACACTTCATGGTATACGATTAAAGTTTACCTTACTCATTTTAAATGAGATCAGCTGCTTTTAACATGAATACAAGTCAAGTTTCCAAGTATTAAGGAAATACATTAATATATCTGATGAATGAGCAAGACAACCCTCATTATCCTGATGGGACATCGTTGTGTTCACAGAGGAAAGAGGAAAAAGTAGAAATAGCGTTGTCCCTTTCTAAGGTCACCAGATCCAGAGGAAATAAAGAATAGCATTATTCTAAATTTTAGGAAGAATGGAGGATACATGTTTAAAGGCTAGATACGTTTGTGAGATCTACAGAAGAAAGAAACCTCGGGTGATTTCCCTCTGTCCATATAGAGGAATGGCAATCATCTGGTTCCTAATCAGAGTGCATTGGCGAGATGACTCTAGGAGATCAAAATGATAAACCTGACTTGAATGGTTAAAACTTTTTCAGTTAACCCCCAGCGGATGCATTCTGGGCCTGATGTGGTTTTCAACATTCTCTCTCTCTCTCTCTCTCTCTCTCTCTCTCTGTTTCATATTGGGTATACTCTACTCAGATGTATTTTGTCATTGATGGTTCAGGACTGATGCACCTATAGACACAGCAAGTAGAATAAGGGTTCCTGAAGGATACAGTGGAGTTGGGGTGTGGGGGACAGACAGTAAAGGGGAGTTGATATCAAAGAGTTTAGGAAGAAAGGAAATGTTATGAAACTGATTGTGGTAGCAAACGCACAATATGTCTTGATGTGATTGAACTATGGAATGATCTGATATCTGCATTAGCACTCCCAAAAATGGTTTTTGGAAAAAAAAACTTTAAAAAGCAAGATTACATGTTTCAAAAAATGAAATGCACAAAAAATTATATGATATAAATATTTAAAACTCCATATAAAATTTAAAATATTGAGGGAAATGAAATAGAAATAAATGGAGGAGCATGTCATGGTATTATTTGTTGTAAAACTGATTCTAAATCTTGCCATTTCTAAAACTGAATGATAAATCCAATGTGATAACATTCAACATCTATGGAAAGAAAAGTTCAGTAGAAAAACAAAACCAGAGATGGATAGGTAAAGAGACTTGCTCATGCAGTTGCAGAAGTGGGCACATCCATTCTGATTATAGGTCCTAGAGTCTCATTTAGGCTTCTCTTGACTTACGTATCTTCAGGGGCTGATAAACCTAAAATAGGCTGGAGCACAACTTGATGGTAGTTTCAAAGGCAGGTGAATAAAATTTAGCAAGTCATACTTGTTATTGAAGAAGTATATTACTCTACGGTCAGATCCCATGTCAGATGGCAGGCCCCTGTGGACTCTCAGAATTGGTGGGGGATATCAAGCCTTCGGTCAAATTCAAAGAACTAGAGATTGAAGAGCCCAGATGCAGGATTCAAACCCAGAAAGAATCTAAGAAGTTTCCCTCCCAGTCTGTTTATAAAGGAAGTAGGCCACACACGCGCGCAATCTCATTTTTCCCAGTTGCTTCCGAGCTGTGTCCTGAATAAGGGAGTTACACTCCACCCTAATCATACAGCTGCTTAGCTATTCACAGCAGACCCCATTATGGAATTGACTAAATTGTGTTCATTCAAATGATGAGGACTTACTAGGTGCCAACTACCAAACCACTAAGAACACTACCCCCGCCAAGTTGACACAAAACCTAACCATAACAGTCCTCAACAGATTCTTTGGAAATCATCAAACTGATAATACAATCTATTTAAGACCATAGTGTATTAAAACAAAAACAAAATTAAAACAGCTGGTACATATTCCTTTCCAGATTTTAGAGAACAACTCTGAGTTTATGTTCTTTAGACAACTGTCAAAACACTAAACAACATAAGGCATTATCAGGTTGCCCTTTATTGTTTGCTTGATACATTCATTTCAAAAATATGCTATCTCACTGTTATGCTTTGCAATTCCCTAATGGCAAAGACATTTAACACGTTATCATATGCTCACCAACACATCTATAATCTTTGGTGTCTGGTTTGAGTTTTTGGTTTTCTGATGCTTGTGTGTGAGGAAGTGATAGCTTGTTTTTCTCTTTCATTTGTCCTATTTAATTTGTACATTCAGATATATGTGCAGCCAGTATTATCTTATGATTGTTCTGTTCCCCTTGTTGTCAGTTGTCCCCAAGGACACTTTTTTGTTTGTGTTTTCTTTGTGGCTTTCATTGATCACTACTGCAGTTTCAGAAGGAGGAAGTGATGTTTTCTGTATACAGATGAGAATTTTCCAATGACTAAAAACATTCTTAGTAGCTATGGTGATGCAATGGCTTAAGCGTTCAGCTGCTAATGGCAAGGTTGTTGGTTCAAACCCACCAGCCACTTTGCAGGAGAGCGATGAGGCTGTCTGCTTCCATAAATATCTGCAATCGCTAAAGCACTGTGGAGTAGTTCTACTCCGTCTTATTGGGTCACTATGAGTTGGAATTGACTCGATGGCATCAGTGGGTTTCGAGGTGAGTGATTGTTCTTATACCTTTTACCTACAAGACGTGACCCTTTCCTCTTGATAAACGTGAGGATTCTCATCAGCTCTGTGACTGAGAGAATTTCTTAAGAAAAAAAAATCT